ACACTAGCCAAAGTGAACGTCCCCTTCATCTTCGTATTCACGAACGTAAGCTAGCCGTCAAAACATATGACACCCACTCCGTCACATTGCTGCATACAGACAACCACGGACATCAATTCGACTGGGACAACCAACGTTCAGATATTAGACAGAGGAAACAACAAGAATGCTGGAGAATTTTTAGAAACTTGGCATTCCAGTGAATCATCAATTAGTAGAAACATCGACATATACAAAATTTATCAACCGATGAGAAAGAAAACTCACACACAAAGGGTGAAAGTTCAAGTCAAAGAAACAATTAATTCCAATACAAGTAGCCTAGAGGGTGTAAAAACAGACAAAAACAACCAATCACGTCCAAGGTCACCCACCAGGAGCGATGACTTACACTCGCAGAGAATTTGAAAGGCTCACTTCAAATTGAAGTATGCGCTGAAGATGTTGCCTAGTAGGGTGATGTAAGCTTCGCAAATTAACTATCTAGCTCAGAGAACACAACCATATCAAAAACACCAAACATATTTTGCGCCTTTATGAAAACTGTCATTTATTATTTCACTAAAAATGTGCTTTCTTTGATTAAGCGAATGAAATATCAGTGGTGTAGACAGTCGTAAGTACACTACTTATTATGTTCAATATTTATTCTCTTACCTGTATAAAAATGATGTGTAAGGAAAACAATTTCTGTCTTTGTTAAACTCGTGGCTGATATTTTTCGATTGACTTCAGTCTAAAATGGTATCGCACAATGAAAACTGTAACTGTTTTTGATTGAGAGCCCATCTTATTGTCCTTCTATTAGCAGCCTTGTATGTGTGTATGTGTGTGTGTGCGTTCACAGGTGTATGTATACAAATACACAGGAAGTTAAGAATTCGTATATCACAATGAGAGCTCCATAATATGTCTAAGATCAGTTGATGATAATGTGGATATATGCCATTATTGGAGTTTAAAGTGTACTCAAAATACATATGCTTTTCCCAAATAAAATTAAACACACTATTTCGAAACCATTTCCGCACCTAGAAAATAAAAATATTTGCCTCAATATCTTAGATTCATTTTAACATCAATAATAATAATAATATAATAATCAATAATATTTTGATAAGCCTTATTTTCTTTAAAAAAATCGTTGAATTATCAGTTCATATGAAAGCAGGAAACGTAAGAACCTGTCGATATGTAAAGCGTCAATTTAAAAAAAAACTCAAGAGGTCTTGTAACCTGATAATTTCAGCGTTTCAATTAGATTTCAAGAAAAAATGATATTGGAGGATTTCATCATAAGCTGACATCACTTAAAGAACCATTCGAAAACAAGGTGGGAGTACTAGACAGCTGTTTCATCCTAGGTTGGGGCTCTTCACCAGCACGCACCCCACGCCAGAGTTCAAACCCAGGACCTTACGGTTGCAATGTCAGCGAGTTCGTAGACCATTAAGCTACTGAGACTTAATCCAATCGCTAACCAGTACCTGAACCCTAACTTCTGCCAATTCATGACATAGCGTGACCACTTCGCAATGTCTTCTTCGACGAGTTACTGTCTCACTTTCAAACTGCTGTACCCTAGTGGTCACAGCTTCGTTCTGCTGAAAAATGCCAAAGTGTGACGGAACAGCAGTTCAGTATTCCCAAATTGTTTTCCAATGGTTCTCTGACTGATGTCAGCTGATGATAAAATCCTCCAACCAATCAAACAAAATCCCTACAAAATCAATACTTAAAATACCGATGTCTTAGACTACTCTAGTATGATCCAAAAATCATTCAAATTATAAGCCAGAATTATCCTTTAGTGTAACTTGCTAGTGTTTCAAATTAAAAAGCTTCTAAAAGTATATTTTTTGCTGATCAAGGATAAATGGAAGAGAAGTAGATACTGACGTTAAGCAACCACCACCACCACTATCGAAAACTTCGCTTAAAATTTATCAATTTTCTTCCATTTCTTGCATTCGAAGAAGAATGCAGGGCTTCAAACTATCAAATTTCAGTGAAAATATTGTTTCTTTTTACAAGGGAGGAAATGTTGGCCGCATCCCCCAACCTCTCCACTCCTTTCTGGGTGTCCTACCGGCTAAGAGGGATATAAAAATAGGTCACCTGGGAATCATACCTGAACACTTCTCATGACTGGTGGTCATTCTACCACTAAAGTACTGAATATCATTGGTCAATGCGTGATACTTATTAATAATATCGATTAATTTATAGTCTTAAGGAATTTCGCCTTTTCATAATCATGAGTGAGTTGACTACAGATAATAGAAAGACAGAAAGACGTATAACCAATAAAATTGTCGATCTCTTCAGATGACCTCATTCTACATTTATATCATTCGAATGAAAGGTTAACATTAGAAAGGTTATGAATGAAACTTCATAGTAACGAAATAAGAGATGATGTACAAAATATGGTCTCACTAAGTTAAATAAAGTTAAGCTGAGTTTTAAACTTACTGCCTAAATTCTATGCGTTTTTTTGTCTGAGAAATTAATTATCTTACTTACGTAATTTCTTATCTTGATATTCAATGATATTATCAATGCTGCCAGTAATTTTTATTTGGAAATTTGTCTGGGGTAAAAAATGTTGAAAATTTTTCTGTCGAATAAATTCCCCAATATTTTAAGAAAGAACAAAATAAGTAAAAAGGAAAAAACACGGAAAAAAAACAGAGAAGATTTTTGACTGCTGATTATTTTTGCATAAATTTTCAAGCATCACAATGTAAATGAAATTTTTGCGTGTACAAATATGATGATAATTATATGATAAAATGTCACTATACTACTACTAACAATTTAATCGGTTTGCTTCGCTATATTCTCTAACCAGACTAAATTAGTCGTTTATTAGTTAGTTAGTTAACTAGTTAGTTAGGAGACTTGGAACCGACAATACTTTGACATCAATTCAATGAATGAGCAAAGTAAAATAATTGAAAATCACTCAACTAAAATGATATTATCACATACAATAAACAACGTTCGGTGAATGAATTAAAAATGAAAGAGAAAGAATAGTCTTGCGACAGGGAAAAATATTTCATCACCTTAGAAATAAGTAGGGTAAAATAAAATGATTTAAAAAAAAACAAATTAAATGAAATATATTTTCGAATGAATTAGCTATTTGGTAAACTAGCTTTCAATTGTGATGTGTTTGTGCCCCAATAATTCCATTATGGTATACAGCAAAGACTACTAATTAGATAAGTAAGTAATAATGAATAAGTATAGTGAAATGTCTTCTTCTTTCAAGTCACACATGATGATATATGTCAGATTTCCAACAAACTGGAAGATATGCAAGTGAAAAGCAACAAGCTGGCGGAAGAAACATCAAAGATAGGACTTCAGGTGAACACTGAGAAAACAGAGGTGATGAAGATTCCTGGCCAACACCAACAGCAACAACAACGGCAACAGACAACAATCAGCCAGCATAACTGGGAGGAACCTGAAAGAAACAACCTCCTTTACCCACCGACCTGGAAAGCATCCTCTAAACTACAGACATACAGAACTGACGAGGATATCAAAGCCAGAATCGGAAAAGCAAGACAAGCTTTCATTATTCTTAAGTCTGTGTGGAGGTCAACATTACTCAGCATCAAAAATAACATCCAGATTTGCAACTCCAATGTGAAGTCAGTGCTACTATATGGATCAGAGACTTGGCGCGTCATAAAGAGTATCTCAAACAAACTACAGACCTTCATTAGCAGTTGTCTTCGCTCAATACTAAAGACCAGATGGCCAGAAAAGATCAAAAACAGTGGTCTCTGGCAATGAGTGAACCAACCAGGAACCGACTGTTAAACAAATGGGCAGGAAGAAATGGAGATGGATTGGACATACTCTGAGGAAACCATCAAGTGACATCACTACACAAGCCACCGCTCGACTGGAACCCGAAAAGGAAGCGGCGAGTTGGTCGTCAATGCAAGGGTGACTTGGAGGAGGTCATGTGAAGAGGAGATGGAAGCGCGTGGGCAAACTTGGAGAGGGGTGAAAACGTCGGCAGAAAACCGAACTCAATGGAGACGCGCGACTGAAACCCTATGTTCCTCTAATAATTAAAGGATATAATAATAAATAATAATAGTGAAATGTCTTCTGTAACGATTACTTCAGAAAACCATGTCATATTAGATAGGCCATTCTCTTAAGATATCAGTACATATATATATATATAATTCTTGTAAACGCTGAAATATTTATGTTAGAATAATTAACTGATAGAATTCGGTCTGCATCAAAGTTGGGACTTGACACACACACACATAACACTAGTTACTGACTAGTGTCCAATCGAAAATATCCCCAGTACAGTCCTACAGGAGGTCAATCGCGACCTTAAATAGATCATTGGTACAGTGTCTGACTACAGCACTGAGTGACATGGGCTCCAGTCTCAGAAGGGACATGAGTTCCTTCAAGGTTGCAGATACGCCTTGCTGACTGGTGAGTGCCAACTAGCACGAAACCTATGTCGAAGGCTTCGTACCGATTGCCTTCAACCATCTAATATCAACAGTTAACAGTGTACCATGATGGCAAGCCACCTAGCAGTATGGTGGTCACACTGCAAACTTGACTGACAGAATTCAGTCTCCATGAAAGATAGGACTAGATACATACATCACACTAGTTACTAGTGTCCAATCAAAAATAATTAACACTAACGTAAACGCCCGAGGTCTGTACGTTCACGAATTTCAAGATGTATACAAACCAACATTTCTTAGCACACTTGCTAAAACATGACATATGTGTAGGAGAACTTGCTTGTGATGAGTTTGGTCTCTGGGGCAGTCTGAATTGTTTACTAATGAAAAGATGGAAGCTAAATAACATTAATAACCATCTTAAACTCTGTTGTTTTTAGCGCTGATTCAATTCATTTTAACTTTTAATAAGAAATATTGCTCAATAGATTAACTTATTTTGTTTGTTCGTTTGTTTCTGATTTTTTTAAGGAACGAGTAATGGCTAGTCAAATGACTGGGGCAAGACTACTTCTACATCCAGGTGCATCTTATCCGCGTGTAGCTGAAGAAGGTGTCAATTTAATGCCTGGTACAATGACTGATATAAGATTTACAGTTTATGAATGGTCTATGATGGAACCACCTCATGGGAGATGCAGTAAAAATACACCAAATTTTATATCATTCAATGGTGTCAATTATACATTCAGTGAGGAGGCGTGTCATGTGCATAAATTACAACAGAAAGTTGCTTCAAATTGTCAGTGTTTAACACAACAACTACCAATACCTACAAATCTACTTAACAAAGACTTAAGAAAATGTCAAGGATTCAAACTACCCGCAACTTATGAAACACTGGATAACTTTAATACATCTAAACAGTTATATTTTAATATAGAAACAGTTGCTAATTTCTCACATTTTGCAAAATGTGCAGAGACAGTTAGTACAGCTACAGATGGTTATCAAATGGGCTGTAGACCAGCATGTGTCAGATACACATATAAACCGAGTATAACAGCTGCTCAATGGCCAACAAAAACATTTTTAACTTGGTTCGTTACGAAAGTAAGTATTTTGTGCCTAAATTTAAATGTGTATTTTACTAAAAAATATATACATAACAGTCTGTTACTGGATGATACATACGGGATGGTTAGATAGATAATAATGACTGAAACCATTATCTTATGATAACTGACACCCTGGAAGCATTTTTATTTCTACAACATTACTGTTAAACAGTAGTTGAAAAGTCACATGTTAAGAAGGCATCGGCAACAATGAAACTCTAACAACTAGCCAACTAAGAACTTATTGTTCAGCAAAAATGCCAAAGAAAATCAAGATGGATTGGAAACTCACTGAGAAGACAGTTGAATGATATCACATACCAGACCCTCGGGTAAAACTCCAATGGGAAACGATGGACTGAATGTGGATGTGTGGATGACATGTAAGAGATCGTGTGAAGAAGAGATGAGAGACTATGGACAGTCGCGGAACTAGCTAAACAAGTCTACAAAGAACAGCATGAAGTGGAGATGTGTTCTTGATGCTGTATGTTACACTTGCGACCCAAGGGAATAATGATAATGATAATAAATGGAGACAGAGAGATTTATCACTGAATATTTGTTCATCGAATCAACACCAAACATGTGCAATCGAAATGACGCAGCACCCATACCAAATATGTGGAGAATCGAAACAATCAACAAGGCGGATGGAAAAAATTTGTAAACCAAATTATAAAGCCATGCGAATATTTTGATGCGGTTATAAGCAATAATTTTCAAGTACTGGTTTTGTAGGGATTGTGCTTGATTGGTTGGAGGGTTTCATCATCAGCTGACATTAGTTAAAGAACCATTGGAAAATCTGCAGGGAGTATTGGACAGCTGTTTCGTCCTAGTTTGGGACTCCAGGAGCTTAATGGTCTACGTCCTCGCCTTGTGACCAGGAGGTAGTGGGTTTGGACTCTGCAGTGTAGGTGCGTACTAGTGAAGAGTTCCAAACTAGGATGAAACAGTTGTCCGGTACTCCCTCCTGGTTCCCCAGTGGTTCTCTAACTGAAGTTAGTTCATAATGAAACCATCTAACTTACAGGCGATAAACTGTACTAGAAAATTTATTTTTTATCGTGTTACGTTCCGAGTGGAACAATGGGCTTCAGGTTAGAGCTATGAATTTTCTGTAGCAGTGATTTTTATTCTCATGGACAGAGGTTGCTGGTTTCACACCCAACCTTTCCTCTTACTTACTTACTACCAGATTGGTGAGGTTTAGGAGTGAGTCGGCCGATGGTGGATCCTCAGTCCACGCGGATGGTTGGTGAGCGTTATACCGCTCAACCACCAGCGCTTCGAAAAGTCATCCAGTTATCAATACTATTTTACCGGTTTTAGCTAACTCCCGCCACTTCTTATCAAATTGAAATGACGTAATACTTCGCAACCAAGTTCCTGTAGAGAACTTTCAATTAGCATACCCAACTAAAGAGGATAAAGAATGGTATATTCTTTAGCGATTGACAATACAAACTAATATTTAAAAATAATAATATTATATTGAAGAATTTTAGCCGAAATAACTTGTACATTTTACGTTTTTTTTTGTTTTAATAAGTAATTATACATGTCTCTGTTTATTCTGATTTTGCGTACAGTTTTTAAAAGAAATGGAAACTGAAGGATTATCACGTTTAAATACAACAAATAATGAAACAATGGATGCCTTCAATATACGTATGGAAGAATTGCGTAAACCTTTAAAAATTTATGAAAAAATAAGCAATTTAACTAAAGAAGGCAATTTACAAGAAGCTATAAAATTGCTTATGGAAACACAAATATTTGAACAAAACTTCTTATCAATTATAATATCACGACCAAATTTTGATTTAGAACGTGTTGAAGAAAAAGCAGTTGTTTCATTAACATCTTTATTTAGTCAAATTGGAGGTCTTTTGAGTATATGGATTGGATTAACTTTTGTATGCATTGTTGAGATTGTAGAATTAGGCTTGAATGTAGCAGATGCTGTGATTCATCATAAGAAGTCAAAATCATAATACTATTCAATGGTTTCAATGGTTAACATTGAATCTGTACAAGGTATTATAAAAATTCGATAAGTGGAAATAGTAAAGAAGAATTGTCTTTCTTTTTAGGAATGTGATTTAAAACACCAGAACATAATTATAATGATTGAGCAATTACATCATTCTGAAATAATTTATAGAATCTTGTTTGAATTATTTTCATACTAAACATGCCATGAAAACATGGCGATCAGAGAGAGAGAGAGAAAGAAAGGATTTGAACTAGATTTGATTATTCCTTCTCTTTTCTGCTTTTTTATATATGTATATACAAGTATTTACATAAATACATTCTGTGATGCAGTACAGTTTGATTTTTTGTTAAATTTATTGTTTTAAACTACATCAACATAAAGCGGAAGTATTGATATTATGAAATAAAGAGACTGACTATTACTGACACAGTCACATGCATCGTTAAGTGTTCAAAGAGAGTACTAAGAAATTGAGTTATACAAATAATCTTGAGACCTAATTTTCATTGAATTAAATATTTAAGTAAGAGACAGATGTATTTAGAAAACAAAAAAATTGAGCGAAGAAATATTTACTTTTCAGTTAGATCATCATCTCTAGCTCTACTCTAATATGTATACAGCATTTTTATTACAATACTCAACAGTTTACCAATCAAGTGGCACTGATATGTTTGTTAACAATAATTAGTCAGTGTCAAAATGTCAATAGGTTGATAGTTAACGAAGAAAATCAATACACAGACATTTAAAAGGTAGAAATGGTTGGAATAAATTAATTTTACAAGGATAACACGTAATTAAAGATGAAGTGGTCAGAAAAAATGATGAAATAATTTGGAAAATTATAGTTTTTACAATTTTTAAAGGTTTAGGGTGGAGGGGGGCGAAGTAGTCCGATTCATATACTCATGTAATGATGGCCAAGGTAAGGAAAGTGCTGTACAAATTCTTTCTGAACGCACAGTTTTGGCTTCTTCTTCAGGTGGATTCCTATTGCTTCAGCTGTATGTAGAAGACGAACTCGTAGAGCGAAATTAAGATTAGTCGGGGTGCGATAAATAATTTTAAATGCAGTATTAACGTCAACCTTATGCTCACTATCTACAAGGTGGGCTAAAATAGAGCTACGAATAGATTTTGTTTTTCCCTTGCTTAACCAGGCTAAATCATGTTCGAAAATACGATGATGAACCTGTCTAATCCTTATTTCTAAAACGTAGAATACGGGCGGTTGTGAAGAGACCACATACCTCTGCTGCATAACAAGCTCTTTTAACTGCATTCTTCAGGTGCTGTGTTATTCTTTCGCTGATGTTGTCAACGAGGAACTGCAGTTTTATGAACATTGCTTTTTCCGGAACTGTTGCTATACTGACTCTCCTAAGTGCTGAATTCATATTTTTCTCAATGAACTTATCAGGATAACCATTTTTTCTTAGTAATTCTCTAATAACCTTAAGCTTCTCATTGAGGCAGTCGTCTGAACAGATTAACCTAGCTTTATGAACCAGACACTTTACCAAGTTACGTTTATATTTCAAAGGTGCAAAACTCAAAAAATGAGTGTACTGACCTGTTGTTGTAGGTTTCTTATACCCACTCCTTTTGAGTGTGCCATCTTCTTTCCTAGCCATGAAGGCGTCTAATTCAACTGAAAAGTAAATATTTCTTCGCTCAACCTTTCTGTTTTCTAAATTTCTAAATAGGGACTTTTTCTATACAGATATATTTTCTCCATTTATAAGATTATTGTAAGAAAAATATTAATAATTTTGTAGTCCCTAAGTAAGCAGATGTTGAATTCATGTAAGCCCATAAAGAAGGAACAACTTGTCCCTCAGAAATCATTCCTTCCAAACTAGCTAACGCAAAATATGCAAACTGTGCATAGTACATTATAATCACAATTTCTTCTCATGAAGTTAGCACTTTCCAGGAATTGATTTAAAATCCATTTTCAATGGCAGAATATAAAGTGAATAGATGTGAAGAACATAAAATGAGAACCATAAATCAAATTAACAACTTTCCATGTACTCAATTCAAATGGTTACATTTCTAGCACAGTTTCCTTTGAAACTAAATTGTTCAGATCATAGGCTATGATCTGCTTATTACCATAAGTGGTAATCAAGAGAGCAAGCAAATTTGCATAAAACCCTGTATTATATAACTGCACATATATACAACCGGTGATACGCTTAGCCTCAATCCAGCAAGATGGCCGTCTGATGTTTAGGCCACTTCAATCTGGTTACCAAGCACTACTGGTTGATATGAGTGGTACACACTTATTCATCTCAGCCAATCAGTAGTATGTAGTTTTATAGCATAAAATGACTTTCGCAAAATGTTTTCAACAGCTTTCAATGCATACCTTCTGCTATTACCTCACTCACGCTCTACTTAACTTCGAATACGTTTCATCTTAGCATTTATACTGTAGAAGCTATTCATCAGGAAGGTCTATATTAAAGTTTCACAATTATTGGCTTTAATCAGCAAAGCTATTTGGTAACCTAAGAAATAGAAGTTAATTGGTGGATGGTGACTAGCAGGGGAATCCAGGATGAGCAGTTCATCCTACTTGAGACTTTTCATCTGGATGCACCTGCATTCCCCAGTGAGTGATGAAGTTCCCACCGAGGCCCGAACTCAATGCCCATAGTTTCAAACGCCTAAGCGTTATCCACTAGACCACTCTGGTCACAAAAGCCAACCTTTGTGCAACGGATCATATTAATTATTTGATTCAGTTTTAGATTTTCCCGTCGATTGATTGGACCGAAGTTCTCGATCTCAGGTTGACATGTAGGCTTAAGCAATACTCGTTGTAAAATTCTATCCGACCTCGCTTATCGTCATTGTCATCGAATTTACCACTAAGAAAATTAGGAAGGGCCTTTAAAATATCAACAGTCATACTATTCAAGAATTAAATGAAGTGATTTACCTACCAAAAGGAGTCAAAATATTCATTAATCAGATCTGAAGTGTAGTTAAGTTTACAGCAGCTGAGAAAGCAAATACTCCTCTTTATTATAAAAACCTCAGTAAACGGTCATTAAATTAAATGAAACTGTATGCTTCATTTTTAATTACATGGACTTACATAATATAAACGTAGGAATTCCCACATCATACCTAAAAGAGTTAATAATTCAATGTACACTCTCAATGTCCTACTTTTTTCGACAACGAAATCTATAGACAGAAAAATGGGGTAGCTATGGGCTCGCCACTTGGTCCTTTGCTAGTGGATTTCTTATTGGGTGGTATGGAGAATAGTACTCCTCACACCTGCTATAAAGAGGCTTACCTTCTACAAAAGATACGTGGAAGACACTTTCATTACATGCGACGAGAACTGTGAATTGAATGACAACCTGAAAGTATTCCGTGACAGTCATCCTGCGATCCAGTTCACCTTAGAAAAACAAACCGAAGGAAAATATCTTTCCTTGATGTGTTAGTCACAAGGAGAGCCGACGGGTCTTTGAAAAGATCTATTTGCAGAAAATTGACGTGGACGGTTTACGATGATACTTGTATTTTCCAGACAAGGGAAATAAATGTCACACAAGAGTGTGCGTGGAAGGGTACTTAAATGTACGAAATGTGTGTGAACCAGAATACAGTACAAAAGTATGTATGAAAATGACTAATACACATGAACCAATAAATAGCCAGACTTAACATGATTGGTTGTAATGTCATGTGACAACAAGGTCATACATGTTTATTTAGTTGGTGGACAGACAAAAGCATATTGTCAGTTATAATGAAATATCGATCCATATAAACATAGCAAAATATAATAAACTGTCAAAAACAAAACACACATCATGTGGATACATATCACCTCCCCTTTTGAGAAGATTGATGATTAGTAGCGTGTTTTCCTGGGGGTTTATCTGGAACCGTTGAGCTTGTTGTTGACGTCTGTCGCTTCGTCTGCCTGTTGGGTTCGCGGCTTCGGCTTCATCCGGAATTGTCTGTTTCTTGGCTACATTGCATAGAGAATTTAGTGGGACATCAGCCAGATGCAGACGATCGAACCAATCAAGTCCCAAAAGATTTAAATCACTCTTGGTGACGTAGCAGATTCCTGTGAATTTGGTATTGCGGAAAGAAACAGAACATTTGAGTTCATCAGTTAGTTTGAGGCGCCCACCACAGGCGCTGACAGCAGTCTGAGAAGTATTTGTGGTAGGTGGTCTGCCAATACCATTCCAAAGTTCCTCTGATATGACAGTAATATCAGAGGCGGTATCTAGCTGCAGACGTGTATCATGACCATTCATCTGAAGATCAAGATATTTCCGCATACGTGGTGTTGTGACTTGACAGGTTGCGAGTAGACTCATTGACCTTTTTGGGGATTTAAGACCAACAGATGGTCGAGCTTTCGCTGGATTATGATATCTGGGTTTGCGTGGCTGACAAAAACCATTTTTATGACCGATGATTTTGCACTTGCTGCAACGATGATTTTTGTATGGACAGGACTGTCAAAAACAAAACACACATCATGTGGATACATATCAGATATAAATTCATCGATATTGCAACGTCTTGTAGATACTGACCACGCGGCGTCTGACACATCGTTAAATATAGTCAACAAAGTCCGACAAAGTTTACCGAAAGGGACACGAGTGCATTCGCTTTGTATGGCAGAAGCTTTGGCAATACATAACATAAAGTCAGAACCCTGGTTTACAAAAACAGTTTGTACGATCTCTTTCGTTACCATGGTCTTCACTTTACGATGTGATTCGCATAACAACTTTTTCATCTTTCTTTATTCCGTCTTCCATTTTTGTTTTATTTAACTTTTCTTTATGTTATCATACTCTAACATTTTATCTAGTCTATTATTTTGACAGCGTTTCATTCATCCTATGTTTCCATCATATTATATTCACATGTTCATATTTCTGATCATCTGTTTCATGCATGTTTATTGAACTTTAGGTAAACCTCTTTATG